GCTCTTGTAATATTTCTGGAAACGTATGAGAGTTTCAATTGCTCCACATCCTTTGCAACATGGTATTATAATTTCTTTTATTTTTAGCTATTCTAGTGCATATGAAGTAGTATCCCATAGTGATTTTAATTTGTATATTTCTGCTGACTAATAATGTAGACCATCTTTTATGTACTTAATAGTCACACACATATACACATACCCGCACACCCATACACACAATATTTATGAAAGATCTAATAAAATATTTTATCAATTTCTATATGGGTTGCATAAGATTTTACATGTATAAAAATACTTTGTAAATAATATATTAAAATATATTCACTTAGCCTTTGGCTAGAATACACACACATACACACACACACACACACACACACACACACACGTAGACAAGTGGTAGTTTTTAATTTTGGAAAAGACCGACTTAGCCATAATTTTCTCTGTTTTATTTTTACCTACCCAAATTTGCAAAGGTTTTTCTTTGTTTTTTGTTTGTTTATTTCTATAAGTTTATAGCTCTAGATTTTGTGGTACTTTCTATAATCTATTTTTAGGTAATTTTTGTATATGATACTATGTATAAAGATTTATTGTTTTGAGGTGGATATTCAATTTTTAAAGCCCTATTTTTAGAAATACTGGCTTTTCTTCAATTCATTTACTCTGGCGCTGTTTTCCATAAAGTTATTTTGATACTTTTATCATAAAATATATTGTGTGATCTATTTCTGAATTCTATACTATTTCATCATTATATAATATTGTATATAGAGTGTATAGTATATATGTAGTGTATATATATTTCGTACAAAATATTTACACTATGTATATATTCTATATTCTATATACAATACAATTATGTAATTAAATTACATAATTACATATCATTATATAGTGTAAAAATACAGTATGTACATAATATATACTCTTTATATAATATAACTATATAATACAATTCTATATATGATATATAATTATATAATTATATATTATATGTTATACAAAATAATTATGTAATATATAACATAATATATAATATATAAATATGTTTACAATAAAACCATGCAATCTCATTTATATTAAGAATTAAAATCAGGCTGAGTAATTTTAATTTGTTAATATCTTTAAAAATTTTTTAGCTATTTTAGTTCTTCGAATTTCCAAATACATTTTAGATTTCGTTTGTCAATTTCTACCAAATTTATTGCTAATGTATAGATTAGGATGACATTTAATCTACATGTCAATGTGGAGAGAATTTGCCTTTGAAAAAATTATGAGCCTTCTTACACACGAGCATAAGTTTTTTTCTACTTATTTAGTTATTAAGTTGCTCTTCTTTGTTTCTTTATGGTAAGATGTTCTTGTGCACCAGTTTAAAATGCATATAAATCAGTGATAATATGATTTTTTTTATGCTTTAGAGAGTGAGCAATACCTTTTAATGAGAGAGGATGACTACTTTTTTCAGTCTGTTACCTCGGTATGTTGTATGATGCCGAAATTTGGGGTATGAATGATCCCATCACCCAGGTACTGAGCACAAATCTTTATATGTTGAAAAGCATTTAGTAACTTTAAACACATATTAATCATAAAATATGCCCATGGAGGCAGCCTCAGCTGTGGCATCTAGGTCATTTTATAGTGACAACAAAGCAAGTAGCCATATCTATGACAGCAGGTGCAGTGGCTGTGGCCCTGAGAGGACTCCATGGCTATCCTGGGTATCTCGCCTGGCCCTGACCTTCCCTTCTCAGGTCCTGAGACAAGCAGCATCACTGAGACACAGCAGAAGTGGCCTGGAGCCATGCAGCTGCTCATCACAAGTATCCTGAAGAGCAAGGAGGAACCATAGGACATTGCGGTGGCATCAGTCCACCCTGCATGCATGTCAGTGAAGATCTGAGAATAAAACCCAGAAATGGAATGAAATGAGTACTGTGGCAACATAGAGCTCGCAATGGCTATTGTTTAGTGAAGAAGGGTGCGTACAGTGTGATAGGTAATGAGGAAACTGCCTTGAGTGACTCAGAAGCCACCGAAGCCATGACGTGAAATATATTAGCTTACAAATTAGGTGCTGGTGAAGGCTGGAGCCCAAGTATAGAAGAGTTTAGCAACAAGAAAGAATCACAGAGGAGGGCAGTCATGTTGTACTTGAGGAACTGAAGTAGAAAAATTTTAAAAAACTGATTATCCTTATAAAATAAAAAATAGTAATAATAAAAGATTTAACTGCAAAAGGCATTAGTAACCCCCTTAAAGTAAAAGTTAAGAAATATTAACTACCTTTCTGTGAAAACTGTAAAACATTAACCTTATCACTTTCCCCATATTTTATAAAATCTGTAAGTTTCTGTTTTTCTTCTTGCTATACAACTGCAAAGTCATAAAATAAATAAGTATAAGTTACAAGACATGTTTTTACTACAATGTAAACTAAATCTCAAAAATGTCTCATAATAATGAACTGCTTTTGTTCTCACTTCTATAAACCTGCTTCCGGCATCACATAATATCCACCATCAACTGCTTAAAAGGCAAACTGCTTTCTTTGTCTAGTGCTCAGACTTCTAGGCCGCATGTCCACTGAGCCGGTGTACACCTTAAACAAACTCTCCTGCATCCCATTCGGTCTCTCCAGCCTCTTGATTTCCCACAAGAGAACAAGAACAAAAGCAACAGTTTGAAATGAAAAAGAAGCATCACAACAATAAAGAAAATAATATTGGCCGGGCGCGGTGGCTCAAGCCTGTAATCCCAGCACTCTGGGAGGCCGAGACGGGCGGATCACGAGGTCAGGAGATCGAGACCATCCTGGGTAACACAGTGAAACCCCGTCTCTACTAAAAATACAAAAACTTAGCCGGGCGAGGTGGCGGGCGCCTGTAGTCCCAGCTACTCGGGAGGCTGAGGCAGGAGAATGGCGTGAACCCGGGAGGCGGAGCTTGCAGTGAGCTGAGATCCGGCCACTGCACTCCAGCCTGGGCGACAGAGCGAGACTCCGTCTCAAAAAAAAAAAAAAAAAAAAAAAAAAAAAAAAGAAAATAATATTAAATTAGCTAGATAATAAATTTCAAAAGACTTACCTGAACATGAGAAAGGTGAAGATGAAGAAATGTTAGAGTCTTCAGAAGAAGAAAGTATGAGTAAGGAAGCACTAAATCAAGGAAGTACTCTAAGTGCCCAAGTGCAATACAGATGATGCAGTCCACGGAAGAGATGTGTCCAACACTCCAGTTATTATCGTAAACATTCTTACTACAATATCATTTTGCTTACTCTTCACAATCAACGACTTAAATGCTAAATACAAACAAATTATAATGCACTGCCGAGAATTAAATGGTAACCGTCGAGATTGATTAAACTGAAAATGTCTAAATAATACAAAAGGTTTTGTGCCTTGTATTTCATAAAAAGTACAACACAAAGTCATCAGTCCAAAATTTCATTACTTTTATAAGGACACTAGCTAATTTGTAGAATATATTATGTAACTTCTTAGGCTTTAGAGACTGAATGATAGCTTTTTGTTTTTTTTGAGAGGGAGTTTCGCTCGGCGGCCCACGCTGGAGTACAGGGGCCGGATCTCCGCTCACTGCAAGCTCCGCCTCCCGGGTTGACGCCATTCTTCTGCCTCAGCCTCCCGAGTAGCTGGGACTACAGGCGCCCGCCACCTCGCCCGGCTAGTTTTTTGTAGTTTTTAGTAGAGACGGGGTTTCACATAGTCCCAGGGTCTATGTTAGCCAGGATGGTCTTGATCTCCTGACCTCGTGATCCGCCCGTCTCAGCCTTCCAAAGTGCTGGGATTACAGGCTTGAGCCACCGCGCCCGGCCAAATGATAGCTTTTCAAGAGAGAGAAGAACTATTTTTTTTTCAATTTTTTTCTTTTCAACTTTTATTTTAGATTCAAGGGTACATGTGCAAGCTTGTTACCTGGGTATATTGCAGGATGCTGAAGTTTGGGCTATGAAAGATCCCATCACCGAGGTATTGAGCACAGTACCCACTAGTTTTTCAGCCCTGGCCCCATTCCCAGGTAGTCCCAGGGTAGTCCCAGGGTCTGGGTAGTCCCAGGGTCTGTTGTTACCTTACCATCTTCATGCCCATGAGTACTCAATGTTTAGCTCCCAATTATAAGTGATAACACGTGGTATTTGGGTTTCTGTTCCTGTATTAATCTGCTTAGGTTAATGGCATGCAGCTGTATTCATACTGCTGTAAAGGATAAGATTTTGTTCTTTTTGATGCTTTTGTAGCATTCCATAATATGTATGTATCACATTTTCTTTATCCAAACCACTGTTGGTGGGCACATAGGTTGGTTCTATGGCTTTGTTATTGTAAATAGTGCTGCAGTGAACATCAGAACACATGTGTCTTTTTGATAGAAAAATATTTTTTCTCTTGAATGTATACCCAATACCCAGTAATGGAATTCCTGAGTCAAAAGGTGGTTATGTTTTAAGTTTTTTGACATTTTCCACGTTGTCATCTACAGTGGATGAACTAATTTACATTCCCACCAACAGTGTACACGTGTTCCCTTTTCTCCACAGCCTACCCCACATCAGTGTTTTTTAATTTTTTTAATAATAGCCATTCCGACTAGTATGAGATGATGTCTTATTTGGTTTTGATTTGCATTTCTTGCATGATTAGTGATGCCGAGCATTTTTTCACCTTTGTTGGACATTTCTATGCCCTCTTTTAAGAAATTTCTGTTCATGTCTTTTGTTCATTTCTTAGTGATGTTGTTTTTGCTTGTTTAATTAATTAAGTTCCTTACAGATTCTGAATATTAGACCATTGTCCAATGCATAATTTTTGAATGTTTTTTGTTTCTCTAGGTAATCTGTTTACTCTGTTGATAGTTTCTTTTGGTGTGCAGAAGATCTTTAGTTTAATTAGGTACCACTTGTCAATTTTTGTTTTTGTGGCAATTGCTAATGAGGACTTAATCATTACTTATTTCCCAAGGCCCTTGTCCAGAATGGTGTTTCCAAGGTTTTCTTCTAGGTTTCCTTGCGCAGGGGCCATGCTAATCTTCTCTGTATCGTTCCAATTTTAGTATATGTGCTGCTGAAGCGAGCACTTCTTCTAGGTTTCCTATAGTTTGAAGTCTTACATTTAAATCTTTAATTCACCTTGAGTTAATTTTTGTATATGGTGAAATGTAGGGGTCCAGTGTCATTCTTCTGCATATAGCTAGCCAGCTCTTTCAGCACCATTTATTAATAGGCATTCCTTTCCTTGTTGCTTATTTTTGCCAACTGTGTTGAAGATTAGATGACTGTAGTAGATGTGTGACTCTATTTCTGGGTTTTATATTCTGTTGTATTGGTCTAGGTGTCTGTTTTGTACCAACCAATACCATGCTGTTTTTGTTATTGTAGCCTTAAAATATAGTCTGAAGTTGAGTAATTTGATGCCTCCAATTTTGTTCTCTTTGCTAAGGATTGCTTTGGCTATTCAGGCTCTTTATGGTTCCGTATGAATTTTAGAAGCTTTTATTCTAATTCTGTGAATAATGGTGAATAATGACATTGGTAGTTTGATAAGAATACTATTGAATCTGTAAATTGCTTTGGGCAATATGGTCATTTTAACAATATTGATTCTTCTAATCCATGAGCATGAAATCTTTTTTTTCATTTTTTTATGTCATTTCTGCTTCCTTTAGCAATACTTTTTAGTAGATATCCTTCACCTCCTTGGTTAAATATATTCTCAGGTATTTGTGTGATTGTGTGTGTGTGTGTGGCAATTGTAAATGGGATTGAATTATTGATTTGTCTCTCAGCTTGAATATTGTGTGTGTATAGAAGCACTACTGAATTTTTTACATATAGTTTATGTCCAGAAACTTAGCTAAAGTCATTTATCAGTTCCAGGAACCTTTTGAAAGTCTTTAGGGTTTCTAGGTGCAGAATCTTATCATTTGTTAAGATAGTTTGACTTTCTCTTTTTATATTTGCCTCCCTTTTCTCTTTATTTCTTTCTCTTGCCTGATTGCTTTGGCTAGGACTTTCAGGTTTATGATGAATAGGAGTGTGAGAATAGGTATCCTTGTCTTGTTCCAGTTCTCAAGGGGAATGCTTCCAGTTTTTTTGCCTGTTCAGTATGATCTTGGCTATGGGTTTTTCATAGATGGCTCTTGTTTCTTTGAGTTATGTTTCTGTGATGCTGTATTAGTCCATTTTCATGATGCTGGTAAAGACACAGCCAAGACTGGGCAATTTACCAAAGAAAAGAGGTTTGATGAACTTACAGTTCCACATGGCTGAAGAGGCCTGACAATCATGGTGGAAGGTGAAACGCACATCTCATATAGCAGCAGACAAGAGAAGAGGGCTTGTGCAGGGAAACTCCCATTTTTAAAACCGTCAGCTCTTGTGAGATCCACTCACTATCATAAGAACAACACGGGAAAGACCCACCCCCATGATTAAATCACCTCACACAAGGGACCTCCCACAACACATGGGAATTGTGGAAGTTATAATGCAAGATAAGATTTAGTTTGGGACATAGCCAAACCACATCAGATGCCTAATTTTGGGGGGATTTCCATGTTGAAGGGATGTTGGATTTTATCTAAAGATTTTTTCCACTTCTATCAGTATGATCACATGGCTTTTGTTTTAAATTTTGTTTTAGTGGTGAATTATGGTTATTGATTTACATATATTGAAACAGACTTACATCCTACGAATGAAGTCTGCTTGATTATGGTAAATTAACTTTTTAGTGTTCTGTAAAATTCTGTTTGCTAGTATTTTGTTGAGGATTTTCGTGTCTATATTCATAGGGATATTGGCCTGTAGTTTTCTTTTCTTTTTTTTATTGTGTCTTTACCTGGTTTTAGTATCAGGGTGATTCTGGCTTTGTAGAATGAATTAGGGTAGAGTTCCTTCTTGATTTTTTGAAATAGTTTTGGTAGGGTTGATGCCAGGTCTTCTTTGTACATCTTGTAGTACTAGGCTGTGAATACATCTGGTCCAGGGCTTTTTGTCCCTGGTAAGGATTTTTTAGTGATTTGATTTTGGAACTTGATATTTGTCTATTCAGTATTTTAATTTTTTCTTATTTAATCTTGAGAGATCGTTTCCAAGAATTTACCTATTTCCTCTAGTTTTTTTTTTTGTTTCTTTTTTTATGTGCATGGAGGTGTTTACAATAGTCTTTGATTATCTTTGTATTTCTGGGGGATCCATTGTAAAGTCACCTTTGTCATTTCTGATTGTGCTTCTTTGCATTATCTCTCTTTTACTCTTTGTTAATCTAGTTAGTAGTTTATCTTTTCTTATTATTCTTTCAAATAACCAACTTTTGGTTTTATTGATTCTTTTATGCTTTTTGGGACTTGATTTCATTCAGTTCCACTCTCATTTTAGTTTATTTCTTCTCTTTTGCTAGCTTTGGGGTTATCTGTAATTGGTTTTCTAGCTCTTCCAGGTGTGATTTAGATCACTAATTTGAGATCTTTACTTTTTGAGGTAGGTATTTAGTGAAATAAACTTTCTCTTAACACTGCTTTCGGTACATCTCAGAGATTTTGGGTTGTGGTGTCTCTGTTTTTATTTATTTCAAATAATTTATTTTATTTCTGCCTTGATTTTATTGTTTGCCCAAAACTCGTTGAGGAGTAAGTTGTAAAATTTCCATGTAATTGCAAAATTTTGAGAGATCTTCCTGGTATTTTTTTCTATTTTTATTTCACAGTGGTGATAACTCCTTTATCATTTTTATTGTGTCTATTTGATTCTTCTCTCTTTTCTTATTTGTTATTCTGGCTAGCAGTCTATCTATTTTGTTAATATTTTCAAAAAACCAGCTGGATTCATTGATTTTATGAAGGGTTTTTATGTTTTGTCTCTATCTCCTTCAGTTCTGCTCTGAACTTAGTTATTTCTTGTCTTCTGCTAGTTTTTGAATTTGTTTGCTCTTGCTTTTCTAGTTCTTTTAATTTTGATGTTAGGGTGTCAATTTTAGAGCTTTCCTGCTTTCTGATGTGGACATTTAGTGCAATAAATTTCGTTCTAAACACTGCTTTACTGTGTCCCAGAGATTCCAGTACATTGTGTCTTTGTTCTAATTGGTGTCAAATAAGTTATTTATTTCTGTCTTAATTTCATTATTTACCCAGTAGTCATTCAGGAGCACTTTGTTCAGTTTTCATGTAGGTGTGCGGTTTTGAGTGAGTTTCTTAATCCTGAGTTCTAATTTGATTGCACTGTGGTCTGACAGACTGTTTGTTGTGATTTTCATTCTTTTGCATTTGCTGAGGAGTGTTTTACTTCTAATTATGTGATCAATTTTAAATGGATACAAAATCAATGTGCAAAAATCACAAGTGTTCCTATACACCAATAATAGACAAACCAATAAGACAGCCAAATCATGAGTGAACTCCCATTCACAATTGCTACAAAGAAAATAAAATGCCTATGAATACAACTTACAAGGGATGTGAAGGACCTCTTCAAGGGATGTGAAGGACCACAAACCATTGCTCAAGGAAATAAGAGAGGACACAAACAAATGGAAAAACACTCCAGGATCATGGATAGAAAGAATCAATATCATGAAAACGGTCATACTGACCAAAGTACTTTAAATTTCATATGGAACCAAAAAAGAGCCCATATAGCCAAGACAATCCGAAGCAAAAATAACAAAGCTGGAAGCATCATGCTACCTGACTTCAAACTATACTACAAGGATACAGTAACCAAAACAGCATGGCACTGGTACCAAAACAGATATATAGACCAATGAAACAGAACAGAGTTCTCAGAAATAATACTACAAATGTACAACTATCCAATCTTTGACAAACCTGACAAAAACAAGCAAAGGAGAAAGGATTCCCTATTTAATATATGGTTATGGGAAAACTGGCTAGCCATATGCAGAAAACTGAAACTGGACTCCTTCATTATACCTTATAAAACAATTAATTCAAGATGGATTAAAAGACCATAAAAACCCTAGAAGAAAACCTAGGCGATACCATTCAGGACACATGCATGGGCAAAGACTTCATGACTAAAACACCAAAAGCAATAGCAAAAAAAGCCAAAATTGACAAATGGTACATTGTAAAACTAAAGAGCTTCTGCACAGCAAAATACACTATCATCAGAGCGATCAGGCAACCTACAGAATGGGAGAAAGTTTTTGCAATCTATTTATCTGACAAAGGGCTAATATCCAGAATCTACAAAGAATTTAAACAAATTTACAAGAAAAAATCAACCCCATCAAAAAGTAGGCAAAGGATATGAATAGACATTTCTCAAAAGAAGACATTTATGTGGCCAACAGTGATGATGAAAAAAAGCTCATCATCACTGGTTATTAGAGAAATGCAAGTCAAAACCACAATGAGATACCATCTCACACCAGTTAGAATGGTAACCATTAAAAAGTCAGGACAGAATAGATGCTGGAAAGAATGTGGAGAAATAGGAACACTTTTACACTGTTGGTGGGAGTGTAAATTAGTTCAACCATTGTGGAAGACAGTGTGATGATTCCTCAGGGATCTAGAACCAGAAATACCATTTGACCCAGCAATCACATTACTGGGTTACTCGAAGAATTATAAATCATTCTACTATAAAGACACATGCACACGTATGTTTACTGCAGCACTATTCAAAATATCAAAGACTTTGAACCAACCCAAATCCCCATCAAGGATAGACTGGATAAAGAAAATGTGACACATATACACAATGGAATGCTATGCAGCCATAAAAACAATGAGCTCATGTCCTTTGAAGGGACATGGATGAAGCTGGAAACCATCATTCTCAGCAAACTAATTCAGGAACAGAAAACCAAATACTGCATGTTCTCACTCATAAGTGGGAGTTGAACAATGGAACACATGGGCACAGGGAGGGGAACATCACACACTGGAGCCTGTCAGGAGGTGGGGGGCTAAGGGAGGGATAGCATTAGGAGAAACATCTAATGCATGCAGGACTTTAAACCTAGATGATCGTTTGATGGGTGCAGCAAACCTCCATGGCACATGTTTACCTATGTAACAGACCTGCACATTCTGCACATGTATCCCAGAAC